ACCTAATATCTCATCTAAACCTGTCCTCTTTCATTTTAAAGCCTTTATCCCTTGTCCTATCACTACATGCTCTTGCAAAGTGACTCTGCTCTCGTGTAGGCCCCCTTTAGGTACTTGGGACACCTCTGCTTCCAGATTGTGGTGGCCAGGCTCTGACTCTGGAGCCAAGCGATGTCCAAAGTAGGTCTTGTGCCTTGCAGTGGCAGCACCTCATAAATTTAACTCCTGGCAGCAAGAGAAATCAACAGAGTTAAACACAGTGTGTCTGGGTTGAACTCACACCCAACACCAAATCCCTCCCATGGTCTTGCCACAATGGAGCAGCCGGATCCCTGGGGTGCTGCTGTCCTCTCAGGCTCTTCCCCTTGGTCTTCCTCCCTGGGAGACACCTAGCCTGTGGTTCACAGCCTATTGAAAACCCTGTTGCCTTGTTTTGGGCTGTGAAGGTTGGCCAGCCTATTCTAGTCGAAACAAAAGGGATTGCGTCTTTGAATCACAGGCTCCTGGTGTCTGAAAAGCTGCTTACTAATACTTCATTATTATTAAAAGATTTCATTCTTTAAAATTGAACGTTGGGCTCCTTGCCTAAAGTTCTTACGTGTAGCATCTAGCATAACCCTTTGGTTAATTTCCAACCCAAACATGGGATTGACAGCATTTGGTTATTTTCCATGTGTCACTGGATGGGGAGAAAGGCTTTGTGTTTTGAATGGCTGGTATTTCACAACGGGATTCAGGTATGAGCTGGGAAAAGCCTGCCTCACCCTCAGCCGCTCTGCTCTTTGTTGCCCTAATTAAAGTTTACTCTGGTAACCTAGGGAATGAATTAAGAAACAAACCTCAACCAGTCTCACTTGTTCACTTGTGCAACGGTGTCCTTAGAAATTCACAGGGAAGATGTAAAAACACAGTACGATAGAGATGTAATTTTGTACATGAGCCCCTGTGTGTCTCTGATTGCATTTCTCAACCTGGTATTTTCCTTAAGGTACTTGGTTTCCCAGCTTCTGAAAGCACAGTGTTGGTCTGGAGAAAGGATTTTGGTAGGTTTTCAAAAGGACTGGAATATCAAATCATGTAGTGTATATAATCATGGGAAGTTCCTTTTCTCTAACCTTACAAGGCTTGAAGATTTTATGTTATACTTCATTGTGCAACACAAGAAAAGTACCTCAGGAACAGAAATGTCTTTTATTCCACTCCCCATGTATCTGATGCTTTATTCCCTCAGGCACTACTTGTTTGCCAAAGGATTGTTTAACCACTGTTTGACAATTTCCAAATGGGAAAAAATGCTGGCTTTCATCCAAAGGAAGGGAGGAGCTTTTTGAAGTTTTGTATTTAATCTTGGTTAAAAGTAAACAACGTTACCCTTTCGACATTAGTCATGCCCGTTGTATAAAGTATGGTGTAAAAGTGCTCAGCAAAGGAGCACAACATTTTTCCATACTTTGTAATTACTCATATTTGCATTGGGGATTGAATTGGATCAAATAACTGGCTGGATAAGGTGTATGGCAGGAGGTGAACATCACAGCGGGATCACTGGGTGAGCTGGGTGGTGAAGGTAGTGGGAGAAGCAGCACAGCTCCCTGCAGGAGACAGGTAGCTGGAGCAACCATCAGTCCACATGCTGCACCCACACACGCATACCCGGAGCAGGCAGTGTTTTCTGCTGGTGGATATTTTGCAAGGATTAACGTGTCTTTACCGAAGGAGACATGGGGGTGCACGGGGAAACAACACCTGCCCCCACCACACAAACTATAGAAAGAGGCATGGCTGTGCAGTCAGGCCTTTTGCTAGGGACACAGCTTGCACCTCGATACGGGGGCTTTCCCTCCCCAGCAAACTCCTCTGAACAGAAAAAATACAACTCTCCTGAAAGCAAATACTGTATATCCGGGGAAAACACCTTCTGCCGGTGAAAGGTGTCCGCCAGCAGCGCCAACAAGCCCCGGGTACAAAGCCAGTGCGAGGGCGACAGCAGACAGGGGGCAATAGCCGGCGGGGCCCGGGGGACGCGGCTCCCGGGGCTGAGCCGGGGGAGGCTCGGGGAGCGCGGCCGGGAACGGCGGGGAGGCGGCGGGCTCTGCCTGAGCCGTGCCCCCGCTCCCCGGCCACTTGTGCCTTCCTGGGGAAAGAAGGGCAACTCCGGAAAGAAGGGCAACTCCAGAAGCCGGCAGGAGTGCCCGTCCAGGCAAGAGCAAGGCTCCGATCGCTAGCTCCTATCGCGCTCCAACACACCACACCGCCTTCTCTCTTACTGGTCACTTTGCAGGAAGAGTATTAAAGAAAAA